CCACCCTGGATCCTTACTAGCACTGCTACCAACTGGGTGAGGACTGCTAAACTCAACTCTAGTGTGGGTTTCATGGCAACATAAGGACGAAGATAAGGTTGCTGTCTATAGGCTGACACACTGATGGGAAGGGAGGAAATTTAACTGGTGATATGAGAGCTGGAGCCCGGATGTAAGGTTTCTGTAATGAGAGTTTCTGTTCTTCCTCTGGAAAAATTGAGCATTGTCAGAGAATGCTGGAATGAATGTAGCATATCTTTCCCTAGGAAATTTAACATTCATTCATTTATTTATACAAAAGCAACATAATTATTAGGGAAAACTACAGGGATAATTTTTCTTATCCTCTTGTTCCCCATACCTGTTACTATTAATAGAGTTGCAGTCTAGAATGGGAACAAATTGAATCAGAATCAAAGTAAGAGTTTTGAAGATGAAAGTGGCAAACATTAAAAGATAAAATAATAATACCCAGTTGCTCCTTTCTCTTTCTCACATCAATATGCTTTTCTTTTTTTTAAGTCTTTATTTATTTTGAGAGAGACAGAGAGCATGAGCAGGGGAGGGGCAGAGAGAGAGATAGAGAGAAAGAGAGAGAGAAGCCCAAACAGGCTCTGCACTGTCAGCGCAGTGCATGGGGCTCAGTGTCACAAACTGTGAGATCATGACCTGAGCTGAAATCAAGAGTTAAGCACTTAACTGACTGAGCCACCCAGGTACTGCGCATCAATATGCTTTTCTGACATACAGAGGAATGCCCACCTTCATTCCCTCCCAGGTCTAACTAGCTTATATGTAGATAAAGAAAATCTTATTTTATCCAGCTTTATTGAGATATAATTAACAAATAAAATTGTAAGACATTTAAAGTGTACAATGTGATGATTTAATATAGGTACACTGAGAAAGAATTTCTGGCATCTAGTTACCTAATACACCTATCCCCTTGCATATTTAATTGAGCGTTTTATTTATTTATTTATTTATTTATTTATTTATTTATTTATTTATTTTGGTGAGTATATTTAGGTTCTGCTCTCTTAACAAATTTTTCCTTCCTTTTTTTTTTTTATTTTAGAGACAGCGAGAGAGAGAAAGAGAGAGAGCATGTGTGAGTGGGGGAGAGGGTCAGAGGGATAGAGAGCAGAGAAAATTTTAAGCAGGCTCCACACTCAGAGAGGAGCCCAATGTGGAGCTCAATCCCACAACCCTGGGATCATGACCTGAGCTGAAATTAATAGTCAGATGCTCAAAAGACTGAGCCATGCAGGTGCCCCTTAGTAAATTTCAATTATGCAATATAGTGTTATCAATCATATAATGTAATGTTTTAGTCACCACATTATACATTAGATCCTCAGAACTTATAACTCAAAGTATGCAACCTCTCCCTATTTTCCCTGCCTCCCAGACCCTGGTTAACTACCACTCTACTGTTTCCCTGTTTCCTACATGGTTTGTTCCTTTTCTTATTTGGGCATATGTCTCAAGAGCCAGTTATGAGCCCTTTGTGGAGACAAGTTACATTGCACATTTAAATGATATAATACAGAATTTGCCTTTCTCTCCCTGATTTATTTCACTTAGTTTAATGTCCTTCAAATTTTTCCATGTTGTCACAAATAACAAGATTTCCTTCTTTTTTGAGAATGAATAGTATTTCATTATATATGTAAATGTATAATATATTTAATATAATATATAACATATACATTTTTCTCTTTTCTTTACCCAAACACTTTAGTTGTTTCCATACCTTGACTATTGTGAGTTATGCTGGAATGAACATGGAATCAGAAATATCTCTTCAAGATAGTGGTTTCATTTAGTTTTTCTTTGGATATATATCCAGAAGTAGGACTGCTGGAAAGACAGTCTTATTTAGGGGAGTGGAAACAACTCCTATGATACTCAAATAATTCTTGACATAGTTCCACTTCCACACAAGGTTCAGTGGGTGTCTGTTTCTATAACATTGGCCTCCCAAAAGTTAGCCCATTCTCCAAGTGTCTGAATTAGTGAACCTGTTTTTTTTTTGCCTTGTTTTCAAAATACCTGATTATAGAACCATATAGCTCTTTACTCATCACCATAAAAATAGTGTTCCTTGTGTTGTTCCTCATACTACTTTGTCCAGACAACTTTTAAATGAATCAAATCATGGTATTTCCACTAAATATTTCTTTAGGAATAATTTCTGCACTATGGAATTTTTTAACTGTCTGATATTTAGCTTATATTTTAATTTGCTCCATTTCATAAATAAATCTTGTCCAGAACCAGTAGAAGCAAAGAATGAACTATTCCTGATAATTTCCACTTCACCTCCAGGTACAGACACCCTATCTTTTACGTCTGTCAAACCACATCCAATAATTTGTCTCAGCTTTAAAACACATCTACTTCCAGGTCTCCTCAAATCACCATTTTGATCTACCAGTAGTTGCCTCTGTTTTTCACTCTTGGAAAAGCCCTGAAAAAGCTGTGAAATAAAATAAGTAGAGGCTTTAATTATTTAAGTTCTGGTGGGACAGTCCAGTGGATTTCATGTAGATACATAAACCCTGCCAGAAGCATGAGACTCATTTCCATGTGTTTGCCTGCTGAACCAAGTCCTCAATGTTACTTGATAACCATTTGCTTTCCTCCAAGTATTGGGCAAAACATGAAGCTCCATATATCTTCAAATATAAAAATCAAGAAGCACGTAACTGTGCCTTTCACCTGGAGAAGTGAATTTTGCAAAGTTTCAGTGATTTTTTTTTCTACCAGCCTGTGAATTTTAAATAACACACATAGTGTTTTTCCTACATGTCATTTCTCACATTTCTCCCTATATCCCTAAGTAGAGCAAGCTAGGGGGATACAAGAAATAAAATATTTACTTAAAGTCAAGCAGAAATTTCTTGTCTACTACATAAGAAAACACATTTCCAAATGGAGGTTTAAAAAGCCCTCATAGTGTTATTGAATACCATTTCCTGCCATGAGAACCAATATAGAATGAAAATAAGAATAAATTCCTTAGTAGCCAGTCCTAGAATTGAATGACAAAATGAACAAACACTGAATGCCCATGTAGAAACTGTATATGCAAGCAATTTTAGCTATATTCTGGCTCAATGAGAAATCAGTTTGTTCACTTAAAATAACCAAGGACAAGTTGGGTGGTTGACACATGGATGAGAGTATCTTAAATAAAACCAGGAGCCACAGAAAACAGGATAGATAGTGTAGCAGGCAGGTCCTGTTTTGGGGGGCATGTGAGAGTTGTCTTTATCCTCAGAATCCGGATAGAGAATCTACAATATGAAATGGCAGGCCAGGAATTGGGGGACTCAAACTCTGGTGCATCTTTAAAAAAAAATAATAATCTTTTAATGCAATCTTTCTAGATGCTACCTCAAGAAAACTCATCAACTTTCTTTCTTTAGTTAAATAAATCACGCTTTGGCCATTCTCCTGCTTATTTCTGATAATAGGAAGAGTTTCTTTTACGTGAAAAGAACATTTAACAACTGTATGTATTTAGCAAAACCTATAAACTAATCTGAATCTGCTTCCCTATCTATAAAATGAAAATAATCATTTGAGGATTAAAGGAGATAAGGATGTGAAATGAATTGGAAACTCAAAGAAATAATTATTTTTGCTATACATAGCGTCATTATTTGTTAAGTACAGAATGACAATTTTGTTATTTGCTTAAAAGAAACAACTCATTTAAATAACAGTAAAATACTGAGGAGGTGAGTGGCTACAAAGCTTTAAGAAGGAATTGTTTTCATTTTCTCCTAATATGAAGCTTTCTCTGAACCCCTTCTCTTTCCAAAATCTGACTTTAGAGTAGAGACATAGTGTTGAATGTCTTCAGAGATAAAGTATTGAGGACAGGTCAGCAAAGGAGCCTTTTAGATTGGTAGATTGCAAAGGACAGCTTGTTCCAAACAGAGGCCTGAAGGCAAATGAGAGAGAAGAAAGGAAACAAAAGAAGCAGTTAGGGACAAGTGGGCCCAGCCAAAGGGGAGGAAAGAGGAAGGCATGTTGGAGGAGGCCCACTGGTTCCTCATTCTATCTAAGGACGGAGTAAATGAAGGAGCATCATCTTCATTGCAGCCTCTACTTGCAAAGTACTGCCTATGTGCAGGGTTCCTTCCTACAAAGAAAGTTTCCCATGATAATGACAAATTCCATTTCAACATATATGGGTTCATGCTTCCTTTAGTGCCTTCACAGCCTCAAATGCATTTGGGGACCATTCTTACATTACAGACTAACAAATTTAGTCATGTCAAACAGTTATTTTTCAAGGAAAGAAATATCTTCCAGCTGCCTGGGAGTGAGTTTGCCCTTGAGGACAAAGATGGCATAAGAGGAAAAATCCAAAACTCCAAGAGGAGGAAATCAGAAAGAGAACAAGGGAGCCGAGAAATGGCTACATTTCCAATTACAGCTAAAATTCCCAAAACTTACAGATATAGCATTAGTTCATCACTTGAGCACAGAGTTGGGCAGCTACTGAAGACCCAATTAGCATGAGGGTCTCCAAAAACATTTCCACATAAAAGTTGGACAGTGATCCTATGGTGCCCATCACTGTTTCACTTTCAGTCCATTTTATCCACAATGCCCACTTATACAAAGACTAGAGGGCGGAGAAGAGGCGAAGCACACTCTGTGATTAGCTTCTCTCTCTCTCTTTCTCTCTTTCCCTCAACACCTCTCACTATCAGAACCTTCCCCCTACCAGCCCTTTCTTCGCTAATGAGGATGCAATTTCCTGATGTCCTAGGCAGAGGCAGGCCAATGGTCTTACTTCCACATGGTTTCAGGAAACACATTAATAGTTACCTGGCTTTCACCATATCCCCTTGGAAATCCCCCAGTGTGACTTTTGCCAACTAAAGTTATATAAAGGAAATAAAAGTGGTTTCTTTTGAAATAGGCCATTATTCTTAATTATTCTCACAGGTGATATGAGACTATATCTCTGTCTACAGACATGAATCCACTTCCTCAAAACCCACCTGTGAGCACAGTCATCTCATTTCCAAGCAACGATTAGTTTCTGGTCAGTATCTGGTACCAAAGGTCTGTGGATCTGCCATGGCATCATCATTAAGCTATCAGGTATGTCTTCAACCACAACAGCCATATAAAAGAACTTTAAGTTTTTTCCCTTGAGATATTTTTATTCCTTTCTTTTCCCTACAAGATTCATTTTTTTTTAATTTAGGCATATGTCTCAGTAGAGCTAGTTATGAAACATTAGTGGAGATAAGTTATCTTATTCTGCCAAGTATATGTCCTCTTTTCTTACAGTAACAAGATTCTGACAACCCTGTGAGAAACCATTTCAATTTTATTCTTATTCCATGTGACTTGGAGAAGGCATATGACCTAAGTCTGGCCAATCAGCATCTACACAGAACCATAACTATTATTGGTTCAGGGAAAGCATGTGACTGAGGTCAAAGCAATCAGTTAATCTTACCACTTTTGCTGGAAAAACCTATAAGAAGCTCTCTCTCTTCTACTGAGTTACTGAAGGGAGAAAATGTACACATGAAGGTGCTGAAAGCTTAACTGCAATCATAGAGGGAAAGTCTGTTTGAGAATGGAGCCAACACATAAGAAAACAGAGGTGACAGGAGACCAAATACTGATAGCATTGTCAGTTAGTAGATCCAGCCATGCCTGAAGCCAATCTACCTCTGATCTTTTCAGTTCTAAGCCAGTGTGTCTTCTTTTTGACTTCTGAGTTAGGTTTTTAGCCAATCTATGTTAGGTTTTCTGCCACTTGCCACCAAATGTTTTGTTTTAAAATCTTCCTTTCTGTGCCAGTACTTCACATCCATCTAAGATTTTATCAGCAGTGTTCTCACTTTGCCACTTAAAGTTATGCCTAGAAACCAGGTGATAGTAATGAAAATGACCCACAAGCTATGACATTCATCACTAGCTAAACCTTAGCTTCCAATAAATAGAGGAAGTTGGATTATAATGAAAGCACAGAAACTCATTTCCAGTGTGAATAATCTTTGGGACAACTTCATTCCTCTTTAATCCAGAAAGAGACAAGAGTGTCTTCTCATTTGCTCTGATAGATTAGCCAAAAACACAACAGACTGAGACTATGAAATTACTAGTACTATAGAAAATACTACCAATAAATAAGAGCAGAACAAGAAAATGAATATGCTATTAGCTGGATCTTTATAAATCACCACTGAGTGTTTGGAGTTAAGTTTGATTATAATTGGTGAAGAATTTCCATGTGGTAAAAGTGAGACTAGAGTAGCCAAGAAGCAGTTGGAAGTTACACAGATTTGTTCTTGGCTTTACAATGGGTGTGGAAAGAGTAGACAGAACTAAAAACACAACTGGAACTCTGGCCCAGTTCCTGAATATTAGCATAGAGGGGTGTGCTTTCCATGCAGAGGGTGTCATCAAGTAACCAAAAGAAAAAAAAAACTTGGGGAGAATAGAGAGGGTGGGGGGAGGTGTCCCTTTCACTGTAGCTCTTCTCTAATGTCAAGGAGACTGGCTGGGAATCAACAAAGATCCTCTAAGAATGCCTCTATTTCTTGGTTTTTGGCCAGTTACTCAGAGCAGATGTGAAATGTTTGCTGTGATTAGGAAATATTTTGCATGTGAGAATGTGGATGCTATAAGTTTCAACTCCGCCAAGAAGACTTAATAAATGGTGAAATTTTACATCTTTGGGGAGGAGCAAAATATTTTTTAAAAAGTGTTGGTTAAAATAAACACCAAATTCCCAAGGAGAGACTCCAAACTCTTATGATGTGCAGCACTGATCATTTTATTACTGTGGAAAAATTTACTCAGATGGTGCAGCCCACTTCATCCTTTTGTTAATGTCCTCATTCTCCCATTATCAATGGCATATGAGTACTCATCTTTTACTATCTGAGCTTTTGTTATTGAATGAACCAGAAACTGATGACAAAATATGTCCTTGTTAGCAAACAGTAAATTAAAAAGTGATCTGATGTCATTAAAAAATGAGAAGCCTTTTATTTTACAAATGAAACCAAGTTATCATTGGCAAGAATACTATGCATATTAGGAATACACTTGCATTCTGGTTCCCTAGTATAGCCATCTGTCTGACCTTCAAAGTCACTGTATTTCTCTAAACTTCAGTTTCCTGTTGTGTCAAAGGAGAGAGTTGGGCTACATCTGCATTTCCCAGAGTGTGTATTGTAGAAACTAGTTCTGTGGGATGTTAATGAATTGTCAAAGCAAAGGTAGGAATTCACTGTTTAAACAGGACAAAGAAATGATTTCAAGACCAAAGAAATAATGTGTGTGAAAGTATAGAGATACAAAAAGCTTTTTACTAAGTTGTTAAACAAATATTTACTGAAAACCTATTATATGCCAGGTGTTGAGTGTGCTAGAAGTTGGGGATTCAGTGGCAAATAAGGATGATGAGATTCAAAGAGTTTATATTCTTGAGAGATTTATGATTAAGCAATTAAGATGAAATCAAATATACTGAATATTATGATTTTAAAAACAAGCAAAGGCTCTTATAGAAGATGAGGATAAGAGAAGTAAGAGAGGGCTTTTTGGAGGAAGTTATGTTTGAATCCAAAACTGAAGGATAAATAGTAGTGATCCAGGGAAATAGTGTAGAAGATGAATATTCCAAGCAAAAGGGACACTACCGGTAAGAATATGGGGCTGAAGAAGAAAAGAGAGAGTCTGAAGAACTTGAAATTAAAATATACTATGGCTAAATTTGATGTGAGAGGGTGAAAGTGGCAGGAAATGAGCTTTGAGGAGTAAATGGGAGAAGATCATCTTATATCTCATTAGCAATGCACAATGGTTTGGATTTTATCATACAGAAAATAAATAATGCTAAAGGTTTAAGCAGCTAAGAAAAATGACCATATTTTTATGTTAGAATGCTGACAGCAGCAGCAATGAGAAGATTTTTTTGGAGAGGAACAAGACTAGAAAAAATTATACTAGTTGGGATACTCTTGCTTCTGGCTGTGGCAATGCAGACAGAGGAAAGAAGACAAAGGTGAACTCATGTAAGAGGTAGAGTTGGAAGGTTTGTGCCTGATTAGATGTTGGCAGTGAATAGAGGGGAAGGTACACAGTTTGGCTCACAAGGTGAATAGTGATACCATAAACCAGAATAGCAATTATGTGACAAAGAGTAGGAAGAGAAAAGGGAAACCGAAAAATGAAGTTGAGTTCTGTTAGGGCATGTCCATCTTTTTATTTCACTGGGTATTTAAATGGAATTATTTGGATACATCAGTCTAGAACATGAGGAAGTGGACTGAAATCTGAATATAAAGTTAAATAAATGTCTTTAGTTCATGGGTGACCATGATATCTTAGAGTGGCTGAGATCACCCAGAGTCTGTGAGGAGTAAAATGAGAAGAAAGATAAGACAAAAACAAACATTGAGGGAATAAGCATATGAAACTATACCTACAAAGAGAACAGAGAAGGACAGGCAGAGAGAGAGTTATTTTTTAAGTTATTAGTGATGTTAGGGCGCCTGGGTGGCTCAGTTGGTTGTGTCCAACTCTTGATTTTGGCTCAGGTCATGATCTCACAGTTCATGAGATCAAGCCCCACATCGGGCTCTGTGCTGACAGTGCAGAATCTGCTTGGGATTCTCTCTCTCCCTCTTGCTCTTCCCCTCCCCCACTCACCCTCTAACTCTCAAAATAAACAAACATTAAAAATAGATAAATAAATTATTAGTGATGTTATAGGGATGTTCAAATAAAGTAGACAAGATTGTATTTTGTTGAAATTTATTTATGATTTCTAATCAAATGTTATAGTATTAGAAAAAATTTATCTAAATTCTACCTCTGGAATATAGTCAATATTTATTATATTTTAGGATTTTTTTCAAGGCACAAGTAATCTCAAATAGTGAATTAGTTTTAAAACTATTTTTTTTCTAATTCTTGAAGACAGTGTCAGAAACATACACATAATTCCACCTTTATGACCCAAGTAGATGAAATGCATAGATTTTCTATTAAATTTCTCACGGCCTACAGTGCAGAGATGCCTTTTAACTGACAAAAACACAATTACATACACACACCATAAAAACAGGCTTTTTCTACCATCTCTCACCATCTTCCTGAATTGGCTATATAAATAGCAACCTGGAAACTGCCTAAACAACTAAGTAGAGAAATTACAGTTAATCCAAGGAACAAATCACTGCATCCAGAAATCAAACCAAACACATGTTAAAAAGAAAGAAAGAAAGAAAGAAAGAAAGAAAGAAAGAAAGAAGAAAGAGAGAAAGAAAGAGAGAAAGAAAGAAGAAAGAAAAACAAAGAAAGAAAGAGAGAAAGAAAGAAAGAAAGAAAGAAGAGAGAGAGAAAGAAAGAAGAAAGAAAGAAAGAAAGAAAGAAAGAAAGAAAGAAAGAAAGAAAGAGAAAGAGAGAAATAAAGAGAGAAAGAGAGAAAGAAAGAAAACACTAAGATTTTTCCCCCCAAGTGTTGAACATACTTAGTTTCACTGGGGTCATAACAATGAGTTTCCAAATTTTGGAACCCATTGGACCCTTAGCCTGTCTGATTTTCTGACTAAGCTACAGTCTTCTGGAGTTGATTTCATCAGTGGCTGGTGAAGCATGACTCTGTTTTTTTTTTTTTATAAGCTTTTCTTCTTAAAACAACATTTTGATGAGCTAAGCATAAATTAATCAGAAACATATGGAGTAAATTGACTCCAAAATACATATGGGTTTAAAAAATAAGAAAAGTACTCAGAGCAAAACACACTTAGGGTTTTATAATCCCACTATGTTAGAAAACTATAGCAAGGGGATTCCAAAATATGACCTTCCCTTATCTCTGTCATGGTCAGCAAAGTTTTTGTTATCTTCTTATAGAAGAAGGAAGTCAAGAAGTAGATGAGCGCTGTGAGATTGCTCAGCCTTACAACCCACTTTCTAAGGCCGGACGTTGTGGTTTCAGTCTGTCTGCTGCTGACTCTTTGAGGAAAAGTGGGGCGCTGAGAGAGATCTCTTAGTAGGACACTGGGGTCTAGCACCACCCCTCTAGCTTTATCCTCTCCTTTGAAGACAAAACATCCTCATTTTCCACTTCTGGGGCAAGTC